AAAACATAAAAAAGCCTGTATCCAGGAATATAAGGAAGTTATGGCCAAAAAACGAAAAAAACTCATCAGTAAAGGGGGTCTTGGGGGGGGGATGGAACTCTCTCGACCACAAAAATCGATTCTCCGTCCTCGAAATACTCTAGTTTCCTATTTTTTAGACGTCGCCCCTGTACCAACCCAACCTATTTCCCAACTCTCTTACAATACTCTTAAACGTCCAAAAAAAGCAATGTTTGGTTGGGAAATAGGTTGGGTTGGTACGGCGCATCCGCCATTTTTTGCGAAAACACAATTTTTTAAAATTTTAACCTACCAATTAAATACATATGTATCTGTATTTTAAAAAGTATTTCAAGCAAAATTGTAAAAAATATAGGTATTTGAAAAAGGTATTTTTAATTTTTCACATAAAAAATACCGCAAAAATCAAGTTTGTGATGTGCTACAAATCTGAATATAATTTAGAGTTGTCACTGAAAAAGTGTAAGAGTTCATCTAAATTCATTAAAACATCTGTTCAAGAGTATTTCGACTTTTGTTTGAGATAACAAGTAAGGGGTCATTTGCATACAGAGGTGTTTTGCAACATGCTATGTGAATATAGTTGTTTTATCACAAACTTGATTTTTGCGGTATTTTTTTATGGTAAAAATTAAAAATAACTTTTTTAAATACGTTTATTTCACAATGTTGCTTTAATCTTAAGGTATACTTTTCAAATACGAATATGTATTTAATTTAATTCGTATGTTAAAATTTTCAAAAATGTTGTTTTCGCAAAAATGGCGGATGCTCTGGGATTAATTTAGAAAAACCAAAAATTAATTTTTAATTTTTTTCATGAAAAATTGTATCAAATACAATTTTAATGAGAGTTTTATAAAAGTCGAGGGATAAATCAAGAAAAATGCTCTTTTTAAAGTGACTTTAAAAGATTTTTTCTAAAATCCTTTTTAAAAAGTTACGAGGTTTATGTAAATAAATCCCGGAGCATCCGCCATTTTTTATAGTATTTTTAGAATACCAATTAAATACATATTTGTATTTTGAAAAGTATTCCCTGAAAATTTCATTAAGATTAACGCAAAATATAAAATAATGTACCTTTTAAAAAAATTAATTTTTAATTTTCTACAAAAAAATTATATTATGTGGTAGACCCAATGCTATCGTTTTCTGCAAAAAAATATGATTTTTCCACATCTTTTTTATGATTTTTTTTTAAGAGGTCGGGACTCAGGTTAAAAATTAATTTAAAAATCTGAAACCTTGGGAGTACCTTCAAAAGAGTAAGAAATGTAAGCCAAAATTTTCAAAATTGTTGTTTTTGCAAAAAAATGGTGGATGCACCGGGTTTATTTATAAAAACCACGTAACTTAAAAAAAAGTATTTTACGAAAAATCTGCCAACGTCACTTTAAAAAGATCATTTTTCATGTTATTCACTCAACTTTTATAAAACTCTCATTAAAATTGTGGATAAAACAATTTTTTATGTTAAAAATTAATTTTTGGTTTTTATAAATTAATCCCGGCGCATCCGCCATTTTTGTGAAACCAAAATTTAAAAAAAATTAGAATACCAATTAAATTAAATACATATTCGTATTTTAAAAAGGATACGCCGAAAATTTAATTAATTTAATTAAAGCAAAATTGTGAAGAATATACGTTTTTAAAAAAATAATTTTTAATTTTTTACATAAAAAATTGTCACAATTTTAACGAGAGTTTTATAAAAGTTCAGGGATATATCAATAAAAATGATCTTTTTAAAGTGACGTTGGCAGGTTTTTTGTAAAATCCTTTTTTTAAAAGTTACGGGGTTTTTATAAATTAAACCCGGCGCATCCTCCATTTTTTGCAAAAACAACATTTTTGAAAATTTTGGCATACATTTCTTACTCTTCTAAATGTACTACCAAGGTTTCAGGTTTTTAAATTAATTTTTAACCTGAGCCCCGACCACTTTAAAAAAATCATAAAAAGGTGTGGAAATAGTATATTAAAGAACTAATGTCATAAGACGTCATTTTGTCGCCCGCGGACAATTTATAATAATTTTGTAATGAACGAGTTCGACAAAAGGTCTTATGACATGAGTTCTTTATGCTATTTTATATATTTTGCAAAAATTCTTTAAAAAAATTAATTTTATATTTAATTTGGTCGAATTTTGGATTTTTAGATAGTTGGTATCACAATCATTGGTTTGACAGTTAAATAGATTCGCCATGCCATCCTTAATTTACTTATTTACAATAAGCGGGTGTTAAACAAAATTTATTGCCAGAAAAGTCTCGTTAGTACTAGAAAAATCATAAAAATATTATAAACCAATATGCAAAATATTAGGTGGGATAGAGTATCTCATTACAGCACTGAAAGGGTTGTTATAATGAAGTCATTATGAATGAATAGATATAATCAATTTTTTTTTAATAAAAATGCTCTTTTTAAAGTGGCGGAAACGGATTATTAAAAAAATACCCAGACTTCGACTCGGATTTTTGTTGCCACCAGCACTCATGCTTCTTGTTAAAATATTACTAAGCAACGTGTTTTTCGATTTTTTTCGAAAAAATTAGATGCCCTTATGATCTTACTAAAAAATGCACCATTTAGATGTAGAAACAATGTTAAAAAAATATATTCAATTCTGGCATCACTTGCAAACAAATTTTTTCGTTTTTTACGCGAAAAATGCTTATTATTAAAAATAATTAAAAATCACTTACTACTTTGTTGCCGATTGCCTAGTTAATCAGTCCCGTACTGAACTTACCTAACAAAGAAAAAAAAACATTAAAAAATAACTCAAACAAGCAAAATCACAATTTTTACCTTTAAAGCCCTTTCCCTGTCACCATCGCGATGCATCGTTGTTATTGCATTGCCTGGAACCAAAAAAAGGTCACTCACGCACTAAACACAAAAAACTGCAATAATATTAGCAGTTTTATCAAAACGACGCCAATCTTGTCTATCGATCATTTTGCAATTATGGCTGACAAAGTGACAAAAACGACAAAGATCACAGGGTGGCGATTCTCGAGTTAAGAGAACGCTTCTCATAGGGAGAAGTGGGCATTTCTCTCAAGTTTTGACAGGCTGCATTATTGAATTTAAGATAAGTTAGTGCGTTCTTCTCTCGGAAACTCTTTTCTGCTTTAGGAAAACCAAACTATTGCATGATTTTAAGAATGCAGCCTGTCAAAACTTAAGTGAAACACGTCCACTTCTCATGAGAATAGCGTTCTCTCAACTCGAGAATCGCACCCCAGGATTATATAAAAAAATGCTGCTGAAACTTGGACGTTATAAGAAAAGTCACTTTGTAAGGATTAACACTTTTATTTAAACACTACTTGAACCTATTAACAATTTAAGAAACAATATTTATAATCAAAACAACGTATAAACACACCGACAGCGGGATTATTACTGATAAATAGATACATGTTTTGAATCATTCGCATCGGTTGCGTAATGCCTAACACTTTTTGTGTGTGTTTTTTTTTAATGTATTTATTGAACACAAAGAAAACAAACGTTTAAAACAGGTTAACATAAATATCAAATAATAAATAAACTTAAAAAATGAAACGACGATATCGCACAGTGGGACAAATTTAAAAAATGGTGAGAAAATTCAAACAGTCGGATTAATTTAAAAAATGGAAGGACGAATTCGCAAAGTGGGATGAATTTTAAAAATGAAAGGACAAATTCGCACAGTGGGATAAATTTAAAAAATAAAAGGACGATTTGCACCCTTATAGAAAAAAACATTATTTGTGTTTATTAACAAACCCTATTATTATTTAAACAACCAAATCAGTAAATAAAATTAAAACGCAAATTTTAAGAATATATTATTTTATTGTAATACTTAGTACATACGAAATAAATACAAACATTAGTTATTTAAAATTCACAGTTTTTAATGAAAAATATTCATAATACTTCCAATGTTACGATATTAAATTAACAGTTAACAAAACGAAAACAAAAAAATCTACATTAAATATAAAATCCAACTTTTTATTAACATGTATTAAAAAATATAAAAAGACGAGTTAATGATTTGCTTTGTGGACACAAAACAATTTATTTACATTTATGAGTATCTTAACAAATACGACCACAAAAATATCAAAAATAGATTTACAGCACAAGAAAAGAAAAAAAATGACTGTTATGAAGATAGTTTTTGAGGCATATTTGTTAGTACATTAAGAAAAGAAGATTAAAAGAACAAACTAAACGTTAATAATGACTAGATATTCAGTTTGTCCTGTTTGGGCCAGGCAATTTTAGCATCGATCCTCTTGTAAGCAAGCATCGTATGTTTTCCACTCTCGTTCACAAAGTCCTGGGGACATTCGTTGTCCATCAGTATCGTTTCTTAAAAATGAAAAATATTAAAACCTGTATACAATTTAGGTAAATATGTTCTTACCTTCTCCATCAGTCAATCTATAGAGAGCATAGTCCTGCGGATTTGTGATCCTGGCTTTGTGCGCGATAATCTTGCACACCTCCTTGGTGGTCATGTGGGGTCTGGCTGGTAAAGTTTTGGTCAGAATTGAGCCGTGTAGTTCATCGGGAACGACCACTTTCAGAACAGAGTCGTTTTTCGCGTTTGAATTGTTCACGTTCTCCTCGCAGCTTTCCTTGAAGTTTTTAAGTACATGGATTGCTGAAGACAGGGTTGTCAGGTAGTAGCCTCCTTCGCCCGAGAGGAGCGATGGATGGAGTAATCCTACAAATATTAATCAATGTACCTACCTATAGTATGTGATCAAAATATATCTGACAAATTCAATCATTTTTTTGTTCAAAGTATAGAAGAAATATTAAGGGAAATTGATAAATTTGATAACCATATCATATCATTCTTCATACACATAAAAAATTTAATAAATTTGAAAATATAAATATGCAGACATTAAAAAATATATAAAAACGTTAAAAAAATCAAGAAATTTTAAAACAGGTATCTTAACAAATGTTCTGATTAATGGTTTTAATGTAATTGGGAATCGTTTTCTGAATGTTTTAAAAACATTGAAGTTAATACACAAAATTAAAATTAAACTGTTGTTAAAATAAACTCAAACTTACCCCACATGTATTCAGCTTCAATCTCAGCAGCCACAAAGTTGGTTTTGATCAAAATCCACACGAATAATGGCAAGAAGTCGTCCGCTCCAAGCTGAGTATTTTTTCCTGGACCAGATAGTTGATCAATTTTAACCTAAATAAAAATAACACAATTAATATTAATGTAAAAATCCGGTATTAAACTCGTTCTTACCGAATTGTAAATTGATGCTATAGCAGCCAACAAGTACTCCAACTTTTCTAAAGGAGAGTCAGCCGTTTGCAGTCTTTTTAAATATTGAGAGATTGTACTGAGGGCCGATTCCGATGGAAGGTTAATTTTTGGCTAAAAAGAACAAAAATACAGTAGGTATAACCTATTTTAAATCGATTTGACTTACTTTGATGGCTAACTCAGTGATGGGCCTGGTAGAAGCGTATTGTATACTGTCAGTCAACAGCCTGATAGCTCCAGTTTTGGTGTAATGTGTCAAAAACAAATTTTGCAGATGGTCTTTCAGAGGTTTCACCACTAACTTGTGCATCACACCTTCCAGTATGGCGTCCAGATTCAGGAATTCCGTGGATTTTAAGTTGCTTCGCTCGCGCTCGATTTCTTTGTAAAATTCCTTTTCGCCGTGTTTCACCAGGTAGTTCTTCATGCCCGACATGAATTGGCGCATGTTTCTCATTACAACCTACAACAAAAGATTAATGTTTTATTATAATAAAAATGTTCATCTTCACATCTTACCTGTGGATTAGTTTCTTTAGATTCCCTGGTACAAGCAATAAAATTATCGATATTTTGAGCAAAAGTTGTACTTTTATCTTGAGCAAGTTCCAAAGCGTACGATCTAATCGTGGTTCCGACAGTTTTTGGCCCGGTTTGATCTCTGCTACGCAACGCTTGTAAGCGCGGGGCAGCTAAAATAAATTAAACAAATTTTTAAATGCAGGGTGAGAATTTGTTAAACGAATCACTTTTTCACAACTCAATTGATGAAAAAATGGAATTTTGATTAAATTTCACTCTAAATAGAAATTGTTCAAAACTTATTAAATTTATATTAAAAAAATATTGCAATTAAAAAAAAGTGTAGCTATTTCATAACAAAAAATTGTTTATAATAAACAATTTAAATTTTAAAAATTTTGTCAATGTTTTTTTTGAAAATCGTTTTACTTTCTATTTTTTATTCTTATGAGATAATAATTATTGCAATTATTAAATAATTATTTTTTGAAAAATAATACTTAAATAATTAGGCAAGTTATTTTCTGTATCAAAATCAAATGCAAGTACTACAAAAACCAATAGTTTTTCTAACCCAAAAGTAAAATATTTATTTTATAAAACTCGATATGTCGTTCAAATTTTGATTCAGTACGCTATAGTAGAATTTTTAAAAAACTTACAAATAAGTGGGTCCAATCTTTCCTTAAAACTTTTTGATCTATTTATGGTAGCAACTTTGGTCGGGCTACTTCTCAGTTCGGATATAGATTCATCAGTCTAAAATATACAAATTATTACACATATTAATGGAAAAAAATGTCTTTTCTACCTCTGTTTGCGTCATTTCCGGTGCTTCAGCCCAAGGGTCGGAAAACTCCGTAACTTCGCTTATTTCCGAAGGTGGCGGCCTGGGCACTCTGCGATCTTCAACGTTATCGTATGCCGACATTCTACATCTTCCTTCATTTGAAGACATATCGGGAAATCTGAAAATTAAAATTAATTCAATTAATACATTAATCTATCACCCCATCAGAATTTATTCGTTGGTAGTTTTTTGGTGGTTGGAGTTAAAAATAAAATAAAGTTTTGGCCAATTTTTACTGTAACGGTAATTAAAGTAAACTAAAGGTGCCAATAATCATAAATTTTCCTCTTACCGTTTGGAGATCAAGTCATGCAAAGCAGTCTTCTCATCTGCATCACATGGTTGCAAGGAGGAAATCAACTTTGGTATATTAGGCCAATCGGAATCGTAATCCTGGTCACTAGATTCCATTTGGTCCGTACTAACGTCGCCTTCGCTGGCTAGAATAAACACAGAGAAAATGGCGTCAAAACAAATGTATACATTGATAAGGAATACTGTGGACTTACTCATAAATTTCCAGCCATTATCAACTTGCCAGCTATCGTTGGCGCGTTGTTTATTGAATGGTGGCAACACTGGTTTTTTCGATGGCATGATTCGTTGTTTTGGGCTCAGGTTGCCCACGGAAGATGACATCACACCTATTAAATAATAATAATAAAAATTAAAGATTAGATAAGGTCGTTTTTAAAAACGAATTATAAATGTATTTGCAAGTACCTGTATATAAAGTTAAGGTAAACAGGGGAAATTAAAGAAAGAGAAGAAGATTATTTGTTGAATTAAAAACTTTTGCTTACCAAATTCATCATCGACCTTCTCCATCGGCGAAGCGATGTTCTTTAAAGCATGCAAGTTAGGCGGATTAGAATGCCTATGGTGCATTGGTATCGCAGGAGCGGGTCTGCTGAAAATCCTTTTGGCAATCTGAAATTGCGATATCGAATCGGCAGGTTCCGCGTAGAAAGGGCTGCCCTGTTTGGGCAGGGGACTGGAACCATCCTGCGCCGCCGCTGGGCTCAGAAGACATTGTTGTTCAATGGTTGGGGACAAGACAGAATTAGCTGCAAGAAAATAAGAAATATAACAAATAATCCACTCTTTTTATGTTTGGGAACGCCAAATCTAGACAACAAAATTCCATCTTCTTTCTTACTTCTTAGAATTACTTAGCTATAGCTCTTTCATGTCCAGTAGGTAACCAGATAGTGTTCTTGTGTTCTCTATATACAATTATTGTAATATTGTATTACAATATTAACCAAAAGTCTTTTGCAATAATTTAGGACAACTTAGGACAATACTTAGTGGTGGTAAAACTTTTGAAAAAATAAAATAAAGTCTTGTTACCTTTGTTAGAATTCTGGCTAGGAGTGCTGCAGTGGCTCCTCAGGGACGATCCATTATGAGAGTCAGTGGGGCTTAAAACATTATTATTTAAAGAAACCTCATTCCCAGTATGCTGCAAGATATCCGGCGAAGGCAAATTATTAATCGGTTTCGGTTTCGGCATCGCATCATTGGTCCACACATCTTCATAATCGCTGATTTTATCGCCTAAACCGCTTTTGTAATAAAAAGCAGTAGGCGAGTCAACAATATCGCTTTCCTGATAGTGCTTCGAGATTTTGTGTCTTCTTTTGCTATGACGAGCTGTTTTGGTGACCGATAATGGTGATAGAGTGTCTGGTGATATCACATCGGAAATTGGTGACAATATAGAACTGTTTGGAGATAGTATTTGACTTGTATTGGTGCTATGTTGGCTTCCTTTAGAAGATAGGGTGGAAGTTTGCCCCTCCGGTGACATTCTCTTAGGATCACACTGTATCTCCATCTGGGAGGGTTGTTCATTTCTCGGACTCTCAGAGTTAACGCTGAAGGTAACCGTCGTGGTTACTGTAAAATTGTTTTGGGGGGTCGAAGGTTTAGACCATCTTGGTGGTGGTGGAGGTGGTGCATTTTTAAACGAAGGTGTATTTTTTATAATCTTGTTATTCTCCGAGTTGGGGTCTATTTTGTTGGCAAGATTCAAAGTGCTCGGTCTTGTAGGTTTACTTTCCAAACTACCACCAACCGGTGTTGATGGTTCGGCATTTTTAAAGGTGCTCATCAAAGGGTTCATATTCAAAACCAAATCAGCATCGGGACTAGAAGCATTGGATGGTGGCGGGCTATAACGCCAGAACTCCTGCCCCAACAAAGCCAACGAAGACAACTGCTGCCTGCTCTTCGACTCTCTTATGGCTTTCGGTAGCGTCAACTGCACCGGCAGCTCATCGCAGCAATCCGAGTAGTGAGAAATCAAGGCGGCCATGTCCACGAAGCGATTCTCGCTTGTTTGCAACCCCAAGCGCCCTTCTGACGATAGGATGAGGTAATGTTCGATGTATGGGCCTTTGTCGGGGGGCAGGCGGACCGATAGCGCCATTGTGTCGGATTGCGAGGATTTTCGCACCACGAAGCAGCCTTCTTCTTTGCCTTGGAGTAAGTGGAAGGCGCCTTTGCGCTGGATCCCGGGCAGAAACCATATCGGGTGGGACAAGACTAGACGTTCCATTAGGCCTATATCACAAGTTGCACCATATTCTGCAAATATAATACAATTGTGAAATAATTGCGAATAAATACATAATAAAAATATTATTATTATTAATAAAAAGTGTGCTTCGTTACCCTCTCCGCTGTCCTCGCTGCTGGCCTCGCTGCCCCCGTTCGAGGACATCAGCGACTCCCTGGAGATGGACCTGGAGGCGGGATCGGGTAACAGGACCGGGGCCACCCTGCTGCAGGGGGGGGGCGACGGGGTGGAAGGGGGGCCCACGCTGGGGCTCTGCCGTTCGCCCAGGCCGTGCAAGTAGGGCTCCAAAAATGCATCGCTTCTGAAACAAACTCATATTATAGTTGATGGATTAAAAGTTAAAAAATGGCAAAATTTAAAAATATTTAAAATTTTAAAAATGTTATATCTAATATTATTCTATTTAGAAAAAAATGTCAAAACGTAATTAAGAATATCAACATAATATATGTATAATAACAATACTACTTTGGATTATCAGACAATCCAAAGTGTAAGACATAATAAAAAATTATAAAATATATATTTTTTCTATAATTAAAAAAATGCATGAAGCGGTTTTTAAGGAAACAATTCCAATAAAAAAACCGATGTATTTTATGTCAGTTTTTGCCGAAAACACAAACAAATTGTAGTGTAGGTAACATAAAATTGTGTATATTTTAGTATTATAATTACAAATTAATGAATGCCATAAATAAATATTAATAGAAATTATTGATTTTGAATCTACGCTATATTTTCATTTTGGGTAATAAATAATAAATGACAAAATATGCGTAACGCATACAGTAATTTATTATTTAACAATAGAAGGAAATTATATAGAAATTTGAAGCAATGTTTTGTGCTATTTATTAAATAATCTATTATTTTATGCTTTAATAAAATATATAAAATACATATGTAAAAATATACTTATAATAAAAGCAGTAAGTACTACTATACAGGGTGTCTCAGGTTTTAGTACCATGACTTCAAACTAATTAATATTATTAGAATATTCTCGGTGACTATAAAAACCTGTTATTACAAAATAACAAAGATAAAACGTGTATCTTAACCTTAACTACAACTGTGCCTACCAATAATATTTTTATGCCTGCAGACAAGATGATGTAATCACGATTTTTAAATCCAAATAGATATCTACTTGTGTAGAATTTACGTTATTATATCCGCAACATTTTTTGCCCTCATTAAATTTACCGCTACAAAAACTCATATAACCAAAAGGAAATTGGCTTTTAATCGCCTTTCTACTCAACATTAAACATTTTTCCAAACAAAATCTCTCGATATAGACTAAAAAAATATACATCTTGCGAAACTAAGTGGCCTGAATATGTTTTAATTGAAGTCTAGTCTATTTTATGCGGCATAATTACTATATTAAGAAGCCGTTTCGCATAAAATAAGTTATACGGTCTTGTGTTATTAAACCTACCCATTTAAATTGACTGACCAGTTTCACTGATTGGATTATAATCTTAAGCAAGTTTTATATGGACTTGACAGCCACCAACAAGGTACTGTCTAGTAGAAATCAGTTCAGCAAGTGCTTACATTAAATTTAATTATTTTTTAATAAAGTTGAATTATTTGTTTTATTTTAAAACCACAGGTCATTAGTTAGGACTTGGTATAGGTAAAAGTATTTAATTATTAAAACGATTTTTTTTAATTACATATATTTGGCCACTCTTCTCTACCATTTATATCAATTTCCATGTACAATTTACGTGTTTTCTCTTGATTCTTGAAACAACGGATAATAATAACTCTTTAAAAATTAGACTTTTATGTCGGTAATATATTCCCCATGAACGTCCTTCAATAGTTCTCCCCCAGGCGTGTTAAACCAGGAACTGACTACTTCAAATGCAATTTGCCAGACTCTCGTTAGAAAGCATATAAAATGCACCCTTGCAATGTCATACACACCCCCTAATTGACCGCTCTCGAAAAAAATTGCCATCATTTTCCACCTAAGGGACTTTGTCAAACTACAATTATATTTGCAATTATATTTTTTAAAATCAAAGTCTAAAAGTATACCTATAGGTATACGTATGTAATAGTATATTATGTATTAAGTTTGACAAACGCAATTTTAGTCACAAATTTAATTAAGGCACAAGCTATCTAATTTAACAGTATACTGTTATAGCTATTCCTTAAGAATATATTTTAAAGTAAATTGCCAAAACTAATAAAACCATGGGGTTAAATGAAATGGATGTTCAATTATCGGCCTAAACATGAACGGTTGCTCACGTGTATATGTGTTAAATTAACACGGAAGCGGCATCTCGGAAGAGATTGAGTCCATTAGGTTTGATTGAACTGTAATATGTAATTGGAGATTGGAATTTACGCTCCAGAGCAACAACACACTTGCACCTGATTAACTTTATCCAGCTCCAAAGCATTTATCAGTTATGTTGCCGGACGGGCCAAACCGCAAACTAAACCAAATCTGCTGCGTCACAAAAAGATTAAACGTTTCTTTTAATATTTTTGAACTTGTTATTTCACATTTTCAGCTACGATCTGTGTTTCATTGTAATATTGTAACAAACACACATTTAAAACTATTGGACTTCCATTTCTAAAACAAAAGGCGTACTTTGGCTGCCGCTTAAAACAATAGGCACTTCGCACATGTAGATATGCGAAACAGCTTTCAAAAAAACTGCGCTTCTGTTTTTCAGCGCTTTGCGTTTCCGTCGTGTCACACGAGTTACATTGTTTTCGTAGCCACATAATGGTCGTTTTTAAATGGAGATAAGCGCCAGTCATAAACTTCACCTGCAAATTATTGCCTACATATCTGAATTCCACAACCAAAAGAAATTACCCACAAACGACATGTTTTTAAAGAGCGTGATTTAATAGAAAAATTTACATTTGAAAGCTTAAAACTCATCACGTTTTTACTATAACTTTTACAGTTAATTTTTATTGGTGGACATATCTATGTTAGGGTGGTTCTTATTTGGGGAATTTTCAAATTATTATGATCCCTTAAACGCGTTTAAATCGATAAAAAAAATCCCTAAAAATTTTACTTTAAGATTTTATAAGGCAAAGACCAGAAGCAGTGAATTTACTGCAAAATAGTACATAGCAATGCTAGCAAACTTCTGCACATTAAATTTTGATTCAGATACAATGAGACCATCTATTTTAATATTAAACGCGCATTAAGCGCGTAATGGGGCATTTTAAATAAATAAATCATATTGTTGTTCGTTTTTAGAGCCTTAGGATTATTTGACTTCCTGTAACACGGGGCCTAATATGTTTTATGAGTGGATAAAAGCATTGTGATGTTTTGTTGCCCGGTGGCCCGTTCATTAGGCCTTTACATGCTATCGCACAATGGGACGAAACGAACATAAAATATCTCAATTTTGTGCAACAAGTTTTTATAATATCTAATGTAAACTTGTAATTTTGTGTGGCCCAAAAAACACCAATGATTTAAAACCTCACGGGGTCATTTCTTACGGCAGTCCCATCATCTCCTGAGCAATATCATCAAATTTATTATACATTTGTTTTTTTTCTGTAGCACTGTGCGATGTCGGGTTAAAAATGTAACCTAGAAGTTGAGGATTTACTGAGCAGAGTAAAAGTACAAATGCATGTTGAATTCTTACATTCAATATAAAACGCATTTGGAATAAAGAAAACTGCGGTAAATCAATTTGGACTGGGATTTTAAAAACAATTTTTTTAAACATTTACTTCATAAAAAATATATTTAATAGTATAAAATGTATCATCACGAATTTTAATTAGGCACGGGCTAAGCTTACAAGCGAGTGTTTGATTAAATAAACTAGTTGCATACTATACTTTTTCCTACGACAAATAGTATTAGGTATAAAAAATAATTTATTCCTAATTTATTCAAAAATTTGTTTGAGCGACAACTATACAAAAATAGAGCAACCAAATTAATATTAAGAATCTGTTAAACCGGCTTTTAACATGGCAGTGTTAGTTTGTCAATTTTTCTGTAAAAATCGAAACTGCTTTCTTTAAAAGTTTACTGCCGGCGAAATCAAAAGGTACATATAAACTTATAAATATTGGCCTTAATAAAATATTTTATATTTTTTTATTGAGAATAATTTTCACATTATACTTAATACTTTTTTAGTTTCTTTCAAAAGTATTCAAGCTATAATTATGTGCAAATTACAACACCTTGTACTTTACCCAACACCAAATTAACGTGTTGTGTTTCTTAAAAAAAACAACCTAAAATCTCAAGATAAACTTTATTTTGCAATTACGCCTTAATAATAGACCGCGTCGACCCGAACTGTTTTAAATCACAGTGATAAATGCCTGTAATTAATTTTACTTTAACTTTTGCAGATATATCAGAAAAGCCTTTTTAAACTGCTCGCTGTTTGTATTTGTTTATTAGGTTCGTGTTTTGTGTATGTCTTGTTGGATGCCAAGGTACCAAAATGGCAGGGTTTCCCGATTTACTATTTTTAAAACTGTACCATAGAACATGTAATTTTCTTGCGATTCAAAGTTGGTATAAAATTAAATTGCCAAGTTCAGTAAAGTTGAAGTAAAAAGCTTAACTTTAATATCGAGACGACCTTTTCGATTCTAGTCTCCTTGGCTTTTCTTCGCCAGACAAAAGAACACTTAATCAAAGGCAACTGTTTTTGGATTGCAGCCAGCAAATTTAGGAATACAAACAGTCGTCTTACGCATCGCAAGATTTCCGCACTTTTGCAAATTGAGGTGCAGGAAAATATTTCCATAAATTTTAGTTTTTCGGTTTTTAACTATACTGTTGATTAATTAATTTTTGATAAATCAAAAATAAAAAAAATCCCTCTTCGTAACTTAATCCGTAATAAACCTAGTTTAGTACGAATGTTTTTACAACAGTTGTAATAATGTCTTTAACCTTGTTAACTGAATATCTTTTGTTCACTAAATGTTATATCGTAACATGGAACGAAAACATTAAAGACACCCCCTTTGGGGGGTGAAGAGCATTTTAATTAGCATCTCCCCCAACTTTTCTACAAGGGAGACCCAGTTGTTAGGGAAATGTGAGATGGTTATACGAATTCGGGACCTAATAATTGAGTGGTATTTTCGAGCCTAATTCAATTTCTTCATTGCTCGCGAGTCGGAAACTGCTTTTAAAATTTAATAGACCCCATAGAAATTGGAAATTGGCTACAAGGCAGAGAGATTAGTAATTGGGGATTAATAATTTAGGAATTGCGAATTTACTATTTTAGTACCTGTTAGCTT